TGACAGCCTGGATGGAGGGAGGTGCAAAGTTGTGATCACACAGCCAAGATGTTAGGGGGACCCAGGAGGTGCAGGGGTCTGGGGTCATCTACCTGAATGAGGCAGTGAAAAGAAAGGTGGGGGGTAAATTGGGCACGGCTGGGCTGATACTCGAAAGACTCAGGAAACTGTAACGCATTGGGTTTTAAAGTCAAGCCCATGGGGAAAGGAGTGGCCTTGGGGGGTCCCTTTATGTTACCAAACCAAACCAAACTTGGGGCCACTTGCCCACGTGCAGTAAGTCCAATCTACTGACACCGGGGTTGTGGTGAAGGGAAGAGCAGTGTTTATTGCAGGACCCCGAATAAGGAGCCCAGGCAGCTAGTGCTTAAAAGGCCCAAACTCCCCAACGGCTTTCAGAGAAAGGTTTTTAAAGACGAGGGGAGGGAGCGGGGTTGTGGGCTGTGTGATCAGATGGACTTTCTTCTGATTGGTTGGTGGTGAGCTCATCAGGAGTTAACATCAACCTGGTTCCAACTGGTCTGGGGTCTACGTGCTTGTGGGCAGCATACAGTTAACTTCTTCCACCTGGTAGGGGTTTCAGGCTCTGCAAAACAGCTCGAAGGACATGGCTCAGAATATTATCTACAGACCTTGAGGAGGAACTAAAGGTCCTTGACGTTTAATGGCTAAACTATTATTATTTTGTCTTGCTTGATTGTTTTCCTTTCTTTCTGCATTTTCTCACTTCTCTGATTAAATGTACTCTTTGGAACTGGGGGAAGCCTAGGAGACTAAAGTTTTTCTACAGACAAAGGCAGGCAGAGGACATGGGTGGGGTGTGGTCTGTTCTGGGAAGGCCCCGTAGGCTCCTGCTGGGTTCCATTTAGATCTGTCAGAATTCTCCTGGGTCCTGCTCTGGTTCATCTTAAATCTCAGACCAGAAGCAGGAAACCCTCACTGCACTGTGGTCTGGAATCTCTCTGCACATTCAGCCCTGCTAAGATGGTGAATCTGCAGCTCTGGGTGGCTTTGCAACCCTGAAAGGTGTAGAAGCCAGCAAAGCAAACCCAGAATCTTGGTACCAGAATAGGAAGAAGTTTTATAATCATTGTGCTAATATCTGAGTGTTTATTTAAGGTTTTGAAACACTTGCGTCAATCTGCCCGATTTGATCTGTGGTTTTAATTAGGGAGGTGTGAGTGGGAGACAGCCTGCAATGACAGCTGGAATAATTTCCTCGCATCCCTGTATGCGCGTCCTTTGCAACGGGATCTGGCTGCTCCTCCCATTAAGTGGAGTGGAGTTTATTTCTCCACTTCCTAGATTCTGGGCTGGCCTTAGGACAAGTCGTGACCATGTGAATTCTGTGCAACAGAATGTGGTGGAAGCAATGTAGTGTGACTTCCGAGTCAGACCTCGAGGCATTTTGCAGCCTTTCCTGTCACCTTCTTGGAGCAGGGCCTTGAGACTAGCATGCCATCAAGAAGCCCAGTCTAGCCTAGTGGAGTCGAACCGAGGGGGCCTTACTGACAGCCAGCACCGATTGCCAGTCATATGAGTGAGGCCATCCTGGGCCCGGGCTCAGTTGGGTTGTCAGATGACTGTGGCTACTGGAGTGACCCAGGCAAGACCAGCAGATGAAACTTCCAGCTCATCCCAGCCCAGACTGCTGATTCAGGGTCCTGGTTGTTATTTTAAGCCAATAAGTTTTCAATGGTTTATTAGACAGCAGCAGATAACTGAGACGGTATAAAAAGACCTAAGTTCATAAACAGCATTTGAATTATTTAAGAGAACTGATTTATTATATTTCTAAATTTAACCTGTTAATGTAAAAGAATTGCTAACTCACTAGAGAAAACAATGGTTAGCCTGGGAGGGCAGAACAAGGTAGGGGATGAGGGCATCTTCACCCCCTACCCCCTTCCTTTTCATAAAGGAAAAAAGAACAAAAAAGAAAAAATTATGCTTGTTAGGTGCTTAAGTCTCTCCTGCTGAGAGTTGGAGGTGTTTGAGAGGACCAGCTATTTCAACTCTGTAAAATGTAGTTTAAAATCTATTAGGGAATTTAATTACCTAAGTTTGTAATTGGCATTCATTTTTAGAATTTAATCTGTTGAACCTGTGAGTTAATTAAATATTCATCAAAGACTAAGTGAAAGTAATTGTTCTTATTTTTATACAAAAGTTAGATTTATAAATAGAAAACTAGATTTGCAAGTTGTATTTGGATATTTAAGAAAAGCTAGTTCTTTTTTAATTTATAAGTTTAATAAATACAGTATTAATTTAAATACAAGCAGCAGTAGGTAGCTTTTCTCTGCATGAAAGCCCATCTCCAACATTAAAAATCCTTGACAGACAACACAGGGTATTAGAGTCCCACCAGAAGACTCAGCATTCCACAGACTTCTATGCCTTTGCTTCGGTCTGGAATGCCCTGACACATACACACATCTTTGGTACCTGGCAAAATTTTACCTTTTCCAAAAGGTCCAGCTGAAACTCTGTGAAGAGGTCCAGTCTTGCCCAGTGAAACTCACACTTCCCTGCCTAGACCCATCCATCCCCGTGTGGGGCCCAGGCCTCTCTTAGGCCAGACCCTGGTGGGCTATTGGCTGGGACCTTGTCTCATCTGTCTGCCATGTGAGAACAGAGCTGAGTCCCCACAAAAAGGAACAGAAGGGCTATTTCAGATGCCCGGGGTATCTGGGGGTTCAATGACCTGGATGTGGGGGACATGGATTTTAGGCTCTGTGCAGAAGGCAGCCTCCTGATAGGCACTGAGACTTTCTATGGCTGGGTCCTCTGCATCTCCTTATGTCCTTGTCCCCAGACTTCCCTGGGAAGGGTGTAGTAAGCAGAATAATGGCCTCTAAAGATGTCCACATCCTAATCCCTGCAGCCTGTGAATATGTTACCCTACATGGAGAAGGGGTATTAAGATTGCAGATGGAATAAAGGTTGCTAATCAGCTGACTTTAAATGGGGAGATTGTCCTGGTGAGTTAAATATAGTCAAGAGGCCCCTGACAATGGAAGAAGGAAGCAGAAGAGAGTCAGGGGGAAAGGCCCCCAGGGAAGACTGGTAGGAGAGATGCAGTATTGCTGGCTTTGCAGATGGAGGAAGGGGGCCATGAGCCAAGGAACGTGGGTGATCTCTGGAAGATGGTGCTGACACCTAGATTTTAGCCCAATGAGACCCATGTCAGACTTCTATCCTATAGAACTTTAAGAAAATGAATTTTGTTTGTTCTTTAAGCTGCTAAATTTGTGGGAATTTGTTGTAGCAACAATAGGAAACTAATACACAGGGTCACCCCCATGCTACATTGCCTGAATCAGTGACATCTGCATAATCACTTTCTAGACTACAGATGGGAACCAAACAACCTGGACCCAAGCCTGGGTTCTGACTCCCCACAGGTCACGTTGACTTTGGGCCAGTCCAGGCTGCTCATCTGTGCCCTGGGGCAGTGCTGCCTCTTCCGAGTTAATGGAAACAGAGTAAATGGATGTAGAGCTCAGCACCAGCTGGTACCTACTATCCTGTGAACAGTTGCTGTCCTGGATGCAGTTGGCAAGACCCTTCTTGCACTGTTGAGTTATTGGAGAAGAGGAAAGTGATGAGGTGACCTCAGGCCTGGGGGCCTGACTACAGAACTCATCTCTCTGATCTTTTCAGGAAAGGGCACAGGCCTTGGTGGTGGTCCCGGAATGTTGGGGGCCACTGGCCCTTCCTTCCTGTCCCGCTGGCTTCTGATCTCCCCTCTCCACCTTAGGCCCAGGGCCAATCACCGTCTGTCACCCAGTCTGCAGGTGTGCCGCTGCTCCTCTCCTGGGCACTGTAGTGGTGCTAGCTGCGTCCACAGGTAGCCTCCCTACAGCCCTGTGGAGGGTTATTGCCACACTCAGCCCCAGAGAGGCCTGCAGCACTGGGGCAAGTCTGAGCCAGCCCAACCTGAGTGCTGTCTTCCTAATTTACAGCTCCAGAAGCAAGTTCCAAGGGGACAGTGTACCAGAGTAAGAACAGCAAAGCTAGTACTAAATCCTTTTTTGGTACCCTGGCTCCTTATCCCAGGTTATAAAAATATCCACTCATATTTATCAAATGAGAAATTGATATAGGAAGGAAGACATTAAAATATTTAGATTAAAAAATTCATCTTCGTAGTCCTTGTAAAAAATTAGGAAAACTATAAGGAAAAAATCACCCCAATTCTTCCACCTGAGTGTGCCATTTGGAGCTCAGTTTTCTGCCTTCAAATTCCACGATTTCCACCTTTGCCTCCCCAGTTGCTCTAGATTCGGTTCCAGCCGCGGCCCCGCCCGCCCCCGGGGGGCTGAGAGTCAGCGGCTCAGCGGCCTGGGGAAAGTCGCCCAACCTGACGTACCCGTTCCGGCTACTCGTCACCTCCCCACGCCCGGCGGGGATCCGCATCTCCAGGGGTCTGAAGGTGGGGTGGGGTCCGGGTGATCCTCAGGGAGCCGCGCCCGGCTCTGTAATGAGCGCGGGGCCGGAGGGGCGGAGGCGGAGCCGGGGCTGCCGGGAGGGTAGGGGGACTCCCAACCCGCGTCGGGGGCTGGAGGCGCTCTCAACCAGGAAGTTGGCGGCGACTGAGCCCGCCCGGTGGGAAGGCGCACTGCAGCCGCGACGATCCCCCGACAGCCTAGCTCCAGCGCGGCTCGATCCCCGCAGGCCCGGGCGGGTCGCGCACGTTTGTATACGAGTGCGGGGGCCCATCCAGCGCCCGGACTACAAGTTCCAGGGTGCCCAGCGGCGCGCCTGGGTTTTCTGGCCGCGCGGCCCGCTGGCTCCGAGCAGGTCGCCGCGGGCTGGCACGCACCACTAGGTCCCCGAGTAAATAAGGGAGAGACTCCCCGAGCACCGTAAATAGAGTCCAAGTGGGCGGGGAAGCCGCCCGCGCCGCCCGCTCATGTC